TCTGTAGTTTTCAGGTGTTGTTAATAATAATAATAATAATAATAATAATAATAATAATAATAATAATAATAATAATAATAATAATAATAATAATAATAATAGGCCCCTGGGTGGGGCCCGACTAGTAACCAATGCCAAATCCAGCGAAACAACTGGCCGCTGTGATACAATTGTATAATAATAATAATAATATGGTCCCAGAATTGAGCACAGAACTTGTGGTAGGTCTACCAGTGAAATCAAATGTAAAGCATTCCTTTCCCTGGGTTCAAAATGACAGTTTGAGGGAAGCTGCCTAAATTCACAGAGTGTGTGATGGTACCTAAACTGGAACAGGGGACTTTGGGCTTCTGCGCACTGCAAGAATTAAAGTGCCTTCATGTGCCTCACGGAAACCAGTTCATTGCATTAAGTCTGCATAGGAAATTTGGAACAATTAACTTGGTTTTGGGTTGAGGGCATTGTGTGAAGCAAGCCAGAGAGAGTCCTTGGCCAAAGCAATCCTCCCATCTTTGCAGAAACGGTTGAGCTGGTCCAGGAAAGAACCATGAAGATGCACAATGAGGGACAACCGCCCACCCTGAGGTACAGGGGAGTGGATGACAGGAGACCCTCCGAGAGGAAACGGGGGGGGGGCTTGTGGAGCAACAGGCTGACTCTCTCCTCCTTGGGATGGCTGAGCTTTCAGGCATGCAGATCCCACTGGTGGCCATGCAGGGATCATGCCTGGCACAAGGCAGTTGGGGTTCTACTTGGGCAAGGAAGCAGGCAAAGGGGGAGCAGGAGGACAGGGCCAGAGCGGGGGAAAGCATCCAGGAGAGGTGGGGGGTGGGCAGCACACACGCAGGCCCCGGCAGCAGGCAGGTGGGTGGCTGCCACTCACAGTTCATGTTGATCTGCTGCGACAGTTCGATCAGCTCCATCTCGGTGGGCATGTAACCCATGGTCCGCATGCAGTTGCCCAGGTCTCGGCAGTTGATGTAGCCGTCTCGGTCTCGGTCAAACTCTTTGAAGGCTTCTCTCAGCTCTGTGGGGGCAAATCCAGGTAAGGGAGGGGCCTGTGGAAGGGGATAGGTCTTTCGCCCTTGCCTCTTGCAAAGCCTGGCCCTGGAGGGTCTCTCATCTAGGGTCTGGGAGGGGCTCTCTGCCCCCCCATTGGCTGGAGTTTGAGCAGTGCCTGGGAAGCCAGCATGGCAACACTGAGTGATGATCCCCCCTCCCCACACCTCAAAGGTCTTTTTAGTCACTTCTGGTGGCCCCCAAAGCGCTAAAGGCCTGACTGTCAGTGGAGATTCTCCATCCTCCACGTCCTGGTTGTCCCAAAGACGCTTTTCCAAAAGGCAACTGGACTTTCTTGGATTTTCTTTGAAAACCTTTTGCTTCTCATCCAAGAGATTTCTTTATTTCTAACCAACTGGTGGAGGATGGGAGGATTTCTATTCTTTGCAGTCGCCTTATTCTTAGCACTCGCAGAGTCAGTCATCATGCTAGGACGCAAAACATTTTTCAAAGGAAAAATAACCCCAAGAAAATCCAGTGGTTTTTTGGGAAAAGCACCTTTGGAGTGAAGCCACATAGGATTCCACTCAAAGCAGAAAGGTTGGGGACCTGGTTTAAACAAAGAAGCTCTCCAAAACTCACCTAGTGTCTCTGGACTCTCCCCCAGGCAGGGACTGAGCATTCTTTGGATCACAGGTCACTTTTAGTGGATCCAGAGTCCCAGATCCTCATTCTGGCACCCCAGCCAGATGCTTCCCTGCTGTCGATTCAAATGCCCACTTCCAAATCAATCTGCCACCCAAACATGTTTCTCCAGTTTTCACACTTCTTGTAATGTATGTAAGGTTGCAAGTTTTCACACAAAATATAATCTAATCTGTGTACGTTTGTGAGTGGGAAATATAAAGGAGAACCGCTTGTAAAGATAGATTGGTAGATCAGTGAAAAAGAGAGAGAGAGAGAGAGAGACAACATGCATAAATGCATGTGAATTTTTATGACTTTTGTTTTTAAAGTTGTCAGTTGCTGGAGAAGTGGGAGAGAACTAAAGATTGAAAAAAACGAGAACGGAGACTCCGACATGAATGGGCCTCTTTCCCTTTCACAGTCCTCTAAACCAGGAGTCTCCACACTTGGCAACTTTAAGACTTGTGGGTGGGGAAATCTGGGAATTGAAGTCCACAAGGCTTAGCTGCCCAGTGTGGAGCCCCCACCCACCCATTCTAAAACAATAGAAGTAAAAGAGGAAAGCCTCTCACCGTCAATTTCTTCTGGACGCAGCTCTCTGTCCTGCAGGGGGAAAATTCCTGTGGTTAAAACCGGCTCTTCCTCAGAGTATACAATGAGTGCACTGACACGGGAAGTGAGGAAAAGGCATGAGGGGCCATGGGGAGGTCATCGGGTCCAGAAGATACTCTGGCCAAGAGCCTTTGCAGCCAAAGGTTCCTGTGTCTTCTCCATGTAATTCAGGGGCACCTGAAGAAAAGGCCTCCCTGCCAAGGACAGAGGATGGTCGATGGTAGAGGGGTGGGTGGGGAGGGAGAGCCCCTTTCTTGGGTGAGGGGTTGGACTGGAAGATCTCCAGGTTCCCTTCCAACTCAGTTATTCTGTGCCGTTACTCTTCTTTCTATGAATATGTGTCACCATCCCATGAAGGCCAAGGAAAGTTTGGAATTCTAAGGATCTCCTGTCACAGGGAGGAGCTAGAGGACCTCCAAACCCCCTTCCAATCCCTTATTGTACCTTCCCTGTTCCTTCCGCCCTGTTTCAGCTGCAGCCTCCCGCCCTCCCTCCTGCTGTCCAGGGAAGCAAGGATGGCCCAGCCTTAGCCCAGAGGTGCCATTCTCTGGTGTCCAACAGGAAGGGATACTGGGGGGTGCAAAGGAGGAGGGGTCAACAAAACTATGAAGCAGCCAAGATGGACCTTGTGTTGCAGAGGTGGAGGATGGGGAGGGAAGGAAGGAGGGGAGCAGAAGAAAACTCTGTGGCTGCCATGAAGGGAAGCAAACCCAGCTGGAAATGCGCTGCTTAAGGTGGAAACTTCTCTTCTTCCATAGATGCTGCTGCCTTCCAGGCAGTAGGTCCTTCCCAGCCCCTCCCCCTTCCAATCTCCTTGTCCACCCACCATGCTTCTGCCCAGGGCCTGGGCTGGTTCCAAAGGGAGTAGACAGTAAAGCCCCTCCCCATCCCCCCATCTTCTTTCCAGATGCCCCCTCCCCTTTCTTTTGCCAGGCTGGGGGGATGAGCGGGAGGGGCTGCCAGGAGAGAAGGCCGCTTCTTCCTTACTTATGGGCAATCTCTGTGGGAGATCCGTTGCAGCCATTGACTAGTTTGGGGGAAGGATCCCTCAAGGATGCGGAGAGCAATAAGAAGCAGCAACAGGAATCGTTACCCAGAGAGCTGGAGCTGAACCCAGAAAAATGCCTGGCAGAGCAGTTGAGAGGAGCGGTGGGACGGGCAGGGGTGTTAAATAACTTTTAGGGTGCCCTGAAGAGAGCTCTGGAGAAGGATGATCCCCTAACAGGCATCCTGGTGTAATCGTGGGCTTGCAATGTTCCGGGTGGGAGGGAACGACACATAGGAGACGGCCCAAGTGTCAGCCTTTTCTCCCACCTGCCGCTCCACCAGCCCCCAAGTGGCCCCTCTTGACGGTCTCCTCCACCTGAGCTCAGGGTGGCATCGCTTTCCATGCTCCTCCTGCTGTTCAGGTCTCCGTGTTGTGCCCCTGCAACTAAGGGGTGTTCAGAGCATAGGAATCTCCCCGAGCACGGCAAGGGCAGGCAGGGGAGGAGGAGGAGAGGTCTCCGGGGGTTTTGCTTCCAGCCCTGGGTGCAGGCGATTCTGTGCCCCCTGCAGGCAGCCTGAACCAAGCGGGTGCTGTGACTTACATACCGGCTGTCTGTTCTCTGCGAATCCCTTCCTCAGGAAGATGCAGGCTGGGCCCAGCAGGTTGTGCATCACCGCGCAGTTCTGGGCCAGCACCATGAGGGAACCCTGGCTCTGGCCCTCGCCGGCTGACGGCCCCTCCTCACTCAGCTGGACCGCCTTATAGCAGGCCTTCTCCTCCTGGTGGATCTTCTTGGCCAGTTCAGCAGCAAGCAAACAACACAACAGAGGAAGTTACCTCTCTGCGCCTCTGGGCTCAGGTGGGCACCCCGAGACGCCCCCTGCCCTGCCCTGCAACCCCTTGAAGTGGCACAGCCTTCTCCGCCAAGGATGCTTTCAGAGGGCTGGCTGTGGGGTTCTAGGAGACAAGCTCTGCATGCAGCCAGGTCTTTCAGGTGCAGTGTCCTAACTCCCAGGCACCTGGTCCCTGGCTACCCTTCCACAATCTTTCCTGATGCTCTGCAGTTTGGCCTGGGTGTAAGCGGACAAAACTCACATTCACTTCAAAGAGGGGATACAAGTTTATGTGTCTTTGTAAACCACTTAGAGCAGAGGTCTTCAAACTTGGCAACTTTAAGACTTTAAGACTTCCCCAGCCAAGCAAAAGTCCACAAGTCTTAAAGTTGATAAGGTTGGAGAGCCCTGCTCTAGAGCAGTGTTTTTCAACCATGGCTGCTTTAAGATGTGTGGACTTCAACTCCCAGAATTCCCCAAGCAGCATGGCTGGCTGGGGAATTCTGGGAGTTGAAGTCCACACATCTTAAAGCAGCCATGGTTGA